GAAATGTGAAAACACTGTCTTTTGTGATTCATTCTATGTATTATAGTTTTCGAGAAAATCAATGAAATGTAAAAACTGCTTTTTCGAGCATTTTCAAAACTTTGAACAGCGAATTACAGCCAAACGGTAAAACCACAATTGATTTTCTCGAAAACTATAATAGATAGAATGAATACAAAAGCAGTGTTTTCACATTTCATTGATTTTCTCGCCAAATAATTACATACTTTTGAGGGAGGCGTAGTAACATCAAGTCTGGAAACAACTGACCTAAGCTGTCGATGCCTCATACACAAAAAAAAACAATTCGCTTTCCTTAAATTAAACGAAATTAACGATATCGCAATTGAAACTTATCGCTGTAATTATTAATTATTGATGTACTTCAAACTAATTCTATTAATTGAGCCAATCAAGATTAAATTTGTGCAAAACGCGTTCCATGAACATGAGTCATAATGGATGTGAATCAGCTTCGCAAAAGTTCCTCATTTGCGCGTAAACAATATAATTTCTATGAAAGTCTCACCTTATCTCCAGCAGATAAATCCAAGATGTTCCTCACGGTGATGTCTATTAAAACTTTAATATCGTTCGTGTAGAAGAGACCTGCCGTCGTCTGATTTCCAAATAGATCGATGAACAACTTCACAACGGAATGAGGAGGTGCAGGTTCATGATCAAATATCCTTACTGGATCCTCTGAAAAAAAAAACAGTTTTTTTAGTATTTTGTATTATTAAACTAGAAAATTACCTTCTCTGTTGAAAAGCAATAGAATTTTCTCAGTGAAGATCTTAGCAACATCCCTTTCCGATAACGCTCTGAGGACGACGTTGTCATGCGGTTCGTTCGTTTTGAACTGCAAATTAAACGAAATGACCAAGTTGAGAAACAGATCCTGTATTTCGTCCTCGATGTCATCCCTCGGCGGATTCTCGATGTTGTTCAGGATGAAGCGCAAGAAATGCACTCCAAGGAATTCTAACAAAAATAATAAATATAATTAAAAAACGATTTACAATAAGGTAACAAAAATTGCCGTAGCTTATGTTATTAGAATTACCTAAATGCGTTATGGGCATTTGCTCGCCCATCGAGAACATCATGGTTAGCAGAAGGGAAGAATAGTTTAATTTTTGGATATTAGTGGGATTAGCCATCATGTCTCTGCAAAGTGTTACACAATTAGTTGCTACGATAAATTATGTTGATGGTAAGTATGTACCTAGCCAATTCTCCGGGTAAAACCGAATTCAGCATGATGTTGAGGATGGTTTTATCGAGGCCGCACATGCATCCGAAGGCCTGAAGAAGAAGTTGCCTGATGGACCACCTGATCTCCATTTGGTAATATTGGATCAAGGTGGTGATGACATGGTAATGGTCCGCGGAGATTACGTGCTTGCAAATACTCACATCCGCATTCGACTGCAAAAAAAAATAATATCCATTAAGAAAGGCTTCGATAATCCAATAAATGGAAATTATGCATGCCCAATGTTGCGTAATATCAAGTTAAATAACTCTCACTTTGATCTGCTTTTTTAGCCGAGAACGCATATACTTAATTACGACACTTTCTACTTCGTATTTCTCACTGTTTCTTACATATTTTTTTTATACTTCTCCTCCAGATTTCTAATTTATAAATATTGTTATAACTATAAAGAGATTCATTTGCACAATGCATACTTTCATTATAGAAACAACAAATGATAAAATCCCATAATTCTAATTAATTACCAAAATTGAAATAAGCTCAGAAATGTAGTCCTTGATTGTGTCCTCGTCCTCGTGAAGCATCCAGCTGCGCTGCTGCGAATCCTCCTTGCAAAAGGTCAACTCGTGGAAGATGATCTTCAAGCGACTAGCGTCGTGCGTCTGCTCAATCTGCACATCGTCCACCGCCAAATTCTCTTGCGTATGCGACAGAATGGTGCTCAAATAAGGGAACACCGAGGCTGGAAGAAGCTCGTGCAATCCCTGGATCACGGTAGCAACAGCCACCCTCGACATCTCATGCGACAGCTGCGTGTTGATCCTCACGTTCTCAACCAAATCATAAACGACCTGCGAACTAATCACCGGACTGCTGCCGCTCAATTCCTGCACATTACCATCAGACTTTTTCCTCCTACTCTCCTTTTCCTCATTATGCAAATTCTCAATACTTTTCTTCACGTTCTCTTTGGTCGTCCTCACAGGCCTTATCGGCTCCTCAACAATATCCTTCTTACCCTCCACCTTGCTGTTACTATTCTGAAATGTAGCAGTTGAATTGCTCTTAACAATCGATTCCAATTGGCCCTCGGAATTCTTGTAAAGCAATGAAGGCATGTTATCAGACTCCGGATTGCTGTACTCAACATTCCTTTTCAATTCCTTCAACCTGAGCAGCAGCTCCTTCTTATCGGAGAACAAGTATTCAGGGGAAATCTCGTTCCTCCTCACATACTCTATCACATTCTCCATGTACTGCAAATAAAAGGATGGGGACACTGTGAGTGTTTCCACATAGTTGGAAGGTATGAAACCCATCTCTCCTCTCTCGTTGATCACTTCCCACCAGTTCTTATGCTTAGTCGTGGTCTGATGCAAGATGAAATAATCGTTGGCTTTGAAGCTCAGTGTCTTCGCATAGGTTGCCTTAAAGTCATACAAACTCCTCAGCATATCCAGGCTTGCTGCACAGCAAAGTGTTAATCTTTCGAAACATCCAATTAGCTTCAATTGATGTGACTTACCCAGTCGAATCATGGTGCTGGACATTGTACTCCTTCTATTAGCAGTTACTTCAGCAGCGCATAAATGATGTAATCCTATTTTATTATTAAACTAATGAAACTACTCGACGACAGACAGGAGACAACTAGGTTTTGTTTATGTTTCGATTTTACTGTCTCCAGCTGATCCCCACTGAGCGTTAAGGCGGGGAGCGAAATTGATTTTGCGCAAAAAATCGTAATAAATTACTAATTAAAATCAATTGAAAACGATTTCTCTTGGCTTAATACAACTAATACAAAGATTTCAATTGGTTTACATCTAATAATGATAATTAAAAAAAGCCATATTTCAAGATCATGTAGTCTATGAGCAGCAAATCAAGTTGCATAAGATCCTGGTGTAATTTGAATAGTCTTTGCAGCTTACGTCTGAAGAGGATTTTGATTGAAGAATTTGAAGTAATTAGGAGCAGTTTAATCCCATTTTCCACACTAATCGTTTCTTGAAGTTCTTATCCATTCCAATTTATATTGGGGTAAGTTGAAACTGCTTATTTAATCGCCAATATTGTTTTGTAATTTGCCTCCAAATTATTTAAGGTTATAAAAGACGCTCTTCTTTAACCTTTAAATATATTTTCAAATATCTAGATAAACTGAGATGTAGTCTAAACCATTTAGGATAGAAACTAAAGTTTTAATGTTTCATCATGTAAAATTGATGTTTCTACTGTTTATTGCTTTTAGTATAAATCTATTGAAAAAGTGTAAAACTTTGTGTATTTGGTGGTAAGTATAGTGTTCTATTCTTTCACTTTTAATATAACATTAAAGTGAAATATATGTACTTTCTTAATGAAATCTTTATTTAATTGCTTTATGGATTTGGTTGTTGGCAATTATCACGTCTTTTTGAAATTTTTATTAGCGTTATTTTTAAATAAATACATTATATTTAGTAACGAATTTAATATTCGCCAATCAAAGCGAGTAAGCATTTCATGTAGTGTCCAGAAGTGTCATCCTCGATGTCTTCCTTCAAGGTCCTCTCGTACTTGGAATGATAATGCGCTTTGATTTCTTCCATGTCGATCTCGCACCTGGAGACGATCAACCTGATCAGCTGACGATCGTTCGTTCCCAAGCCCTTGAGGGCCTTGTGGATGCGCCTGGCGAAGAAGGCGGGACGGTTACGTGTCGACCTGATGATGGCCAACAGACATTCCTTAGCGTCACCGGAGAACTCCGAGTCGACGGCTTCCTCGATGTCGTGTCCGGTGATGTTTTCGTATTGATTGAAGACACCTTTCAACTGTTCCAAATTGCGTTGGCAGAAGACCATATTGAAAGCGGACTCATCAGTTCCGAGGATCAATTCACCTGTTACGAAAAGCACATATTTGAATTGAATTGAGCAATTTTATTAAAGAAAGTTGCGAATTTCTGGGAAGAATCGTTTTCTCATATCGTTGCTAAATATATTGTATTTACCTGCTTCCAAGAGAGATTGCGCATCGGAATGAGCAGCGTCCATGTCAACGTCGTCGCTTTCATCTCTAGCCCCGTTGCACAAGGAAACTAGGCATCTCTTCAAGGTACCAGAGGTATCTCCAATAATGTCATCTTCCAACTGCTTTCCGTACCCTTAAAACAGAAACAAATTAACGCTTTATTTTTCTATCATATTTCTAATAGAATTTACTTGATTCGTAGGCTTCACGGACCAAGCTCATTTCGTAATTGTTCAACGAGCAGAGCATTTCGATGAGGCAGTCTTCGTCGGTTCCCAAACCGCTGATGGCGACGTGCAATTCCTTCGCGTACAAATCCGGCGTTGGCCTCATCAGAGCCACAAGGAGATCCTCGAAGTGACCGCTCGATTCGCTTTTCAAATCGTGCACCAAATCCTTAAAGCATATAACCATTAAACATTTCGATCGTCTTAACAACAGTGGGAATTGATTACCTTTCCGTACATGGTTTTGAAAGTCCTATCAATCTCTTGCCTCTGCTCGTTCGATCTGTGAGCCAAGACGTCGATGATTGCGTGTTCGTCGGTGCCGAAACCCTTCATCGCCTTGCGAAGAACCTCGGCATCGGCGGTAGCGTCGAAATCCTCAGCCGGACGAACCGTGGGAGTGTACTGAATCATTAACGAAATTGTAACGATTTCAATTGCTTTTATTTTGCAATTAGTTAATTGTAATTGAGGCGTGTAAAGGAAATTGTAGTCACATGCCATCCTCGAGTTATGTAAATTTCGTGGGATCGGCATAAGGCATTGACATGTAAAGCGTTTTATTGTTATTTGTCGACACGTCTGTTATCATTCCTGCTCTAATTATTTATTCAAATTATTCATAATGCAATCAATAACCCGTTTGTTGGGACCAGAACCCGTTGCGCAATCGCCTATTGATTATGGCTTTCCGATTATCTGGCTTCAATTGAAAAGTATATTTCAAGTATGAAAGATAAATTACGTCCACTTATCGACAATAATTGCGCAACGAACTTCTGAGAAATATTTATCGCATTCATCAACATTTTATATTTATTTAACAATAATATTAATTAATTGAATAATGATAATAGCTTTAACTTGTGTGTTGAGTTTTAAAGTATTGCAAGTGCAAAGTTTACGAAGCTTAACGAAAGTTTCTTACGTCTGCGTAACGGCTTAGATCCATGTTGTTTGTTGTTTTTTTCCCAAAGTTCTGCGAGGTGGAAACCCAGTGACACGATCACCAGTGTGTATTTGTTGTTCGGAAGGTCATAAAAAACTGTGCACGACAAATTACCGGCAACGTTTATATTCCAATTCCTCTGCTCCTGCGCGATATTACCATCAGAGGACGGTAATCTTATCTTTTACTCCCAACAATATTTGATAAGAATCTTATTTTTGTTGTACCTGCAGATATTTGCATGGGGGGGAATCACGGAATATTGTTGTTCATCTCGTTCTTATTATCGGATTTTTCCCACTTGCATGATGTATTGATTTCTAGAAGTTATTAATAAATAAAAAAAATTGTGATTGCCTCCTATTGCGCAAACACGTATTCAATTATTATATAATAATATATGGATAATCTATTCTAGTCTATATAATTCTATATTAAAGATAGGATTTACGGTTTGATAATATTCATGAGTTGTTTAACTGCAGAACGTAAATAAATCTTAAGTGCACTTTACCAGCTAAAACAATTGCGCTAGGTGAGATCACTGCATCATGCATGGGTTAATAATACTCGATGTTGCCTTGCTTAGGATTCTCGCACATTTGTGTTGTTTTTTTTTTTTAGTTTTTGGCACGGTTTGTCTTCTTCGTTTTACGATTTTCCCTTTCATAATAATACACGATTTTCTATTTAAATCTCTTTGACTTCAAGTTTACTTTAAATTATTTCAACACTTTCTATTTCAGTGGATAAACGAATATTGATTTCAGTCGTTATGAATTGAGCGTGATGAGCAGTAATTTCTTGAATTATTCAGTTGCTTTTTTTATTATTATAACTCTACAGATCAATATAACATGTAAATTGGATGTGTTTTCTGGGCGAATTAATTACTTTTTTTTATCTTCATTATAATCGCCGTCACGAAGTTTAATTATTTGTATGAAGTTTTAGACTTTATTCAGTAGAAATGTTTAAAATAAGAACAATGTATTAACACTTTATTGATAATTCGTTTCTTCTGAGAAACTTGTTACATTCTGCTTCAATATAATAAATATTATTATATGCTATTTCTTTTCTTCATTAATATAAATAATATAAATATTCCATTTTCTTTTCCACTTAATTTTCGGCAATAAGGGCGAGCAATAGTTTGCTGTAATCACCTCCAGAGTATTTCTGCAAATGAATTAACACAATTTAGATAAATAACATTTGTATTTCGAAGCTTTCTCACTTTGATGTCCTTTTCGAGATTGTGTCCGTATTTCGTTTTGTAATCGATTTTCACGTCTGCCATATCGATACTACTCCTGGTAACAATAAACCGTATCAGTTGGTTATGTTTTGTCGTCAGCAGTTTAAATGCGCCGCGAATTCTCTTTGCAAAGTGCAAAGATGGACACAGCACGTGCCTCGCGATTGCCAGAAGACATTCCTTCGAATCTCCCGAGAATTCGCTCTTTATACTCTGCTCAATTTCTTTGCCTGAAAGTATTTTGTACTGCTCGAAGACGACCCTCAAATGCTCGTAACTTCTCTGGCAGAAGATCTGGATGAATTCGTCTTCGTCTGTTCCCAAACGTTTAGCACCTTAAACACATATTATTGCTACAGAATATAAAGTATAAGAGATAATATTATCATTATTAGATAACGTGATTAAATTTTTATAATCAATAATTGAGGAATTCACAAGAATTTCTGATAATTTATTTTATCATCAAGATAAGTTAGTCAAATTTAGTTACTTAAGTAATATTTTCGTTTCAAATTGATACTAGTAATTGATCTTTTTTTTTTAATAAGTCGTTAGTTGTGAAAGGTTTTCATCAAAGTTTAATCCAGTTATCTAGTAATTATACCTGCGTTGTATAGGGCTTTAGCATCTCGCTCGACTGCGCTCATATCAATTACACTACTTTCATCCCTTCCAGCATTGTTCAGTGCTACTAATAGCCTTCTAAACGTTCCCGAGGTGTCACCAATTATGTCGCTCTCCAAGTCCTTTCCGTAATCTAAAAGAGGCCGGTAATTAGTTAATTATATACGCTTCGAGCGTGCAGACGAAACTCACTTTTCACGTAAGCGTTCCTCACCGCTTTCAGTTGATTATTTGTCAGCGTCGCCAGTATTTCAATTAGGACATCCTCGTTCGTGCAGATACCCCTCAGGGAGTCGTTCAGTTCCTTCGCGTAGTAGCAGGGGAGCGGCGTGACCAACGCAATGAGCGCATCCCTGTAATGACCGCTCGTCTCGTCCTGCAAATCCTGCTGCAGATCCTGAAATATCCAAATCACAGTTGCCACAGCTTCTTTCGCAGATATTCGCCACTACCTTTCCGTACATCGTCTTGTAATACACGTTGATTTCCATCCGCTGCTCGTAGCTTCTCTTCGATAAAATATTGGTCAAACTCTTCTCGTCGGTACCTAAACCTTTCATAGCCTTCTTCAAACATCTCGCGTCTTCTTGAGGATCGAACGGATCCACCGGCCGCACCGTTGGGTTTATCTGAAGGATTAATTGTTATATCTTCAAAATAAAACACTAATTACTTACGTGCTGATTACTCATTGTCCGGAGCTCTTGTTCGAATAGCAGCTATTCTCACTATACAACTTCATCTTATTTATTTTATAGATGTCGCAATGACTAATGCTTAGATAACACCTCTCGACAAGACTGGATAGATAATAAATAAAACTATAGCGAAAATCTCACTGATTCATCAAATTCGAAATTGATGTAATCTTCAATAATCATTTCAATACATTTATTATAATCGATAAAACTTAATGTTCACAACATGTAATGCTTTATTTTCATTTATTTATAAAACTGTTACTATGTTGTAATGGATAATAATCCATAATAACATTCTTTGTTTCAAGGTTTTATCCTAATCGATATTGTTATCCATAAAATAACCGCTCCCGGAATGAAAATGATTCATTTCGCCATTAACGTTTCAAATAATTACACAAAAAAAGTGATAAGACTTCAAACTGTAATTGAATGTATTATTTTTTTTTAATTTCATTAGTCTTATAGCATGAAAACTGTGTTTATATTTTATGAAGCGATCTTCTAATGCTCTTCTTCTGATAAAGCTGCTGTTTATGGATCCATGAAGTGGCTTTTTTTTGTTTAGTTAATAACCCAAACCATATGGTTCTTGTTTACTTAACTGGGTAAATATAGAAAATAACATTTTGTCTTTTTATCTGCGTAACGCATATCTTTCGAAGCTTCCGATCATAATTTATATTAATCACCAATGATAATGTATTTTTAGCGAAGAATTAATTACATGATTTTGTATAATAAAAAGAGAGATCATTTTAATGTTTCATTGTGTATTTTTATATATAATTTGAATTCATAAACGCCTGTAAATAGAATTATTATAATAAAAACAACATTGAATGTCATAAACATGGAAGAGGTTGAAAAGCACAAGAGTAACAACAAGGAATATATATAGTATTCGTTATATAAAATAGTTTCGTAAACATTTAGTAGCAAAAGATTTGTTTCTCGTTATTCCTTCGTTTTTTTTTGCATGGAAGTCGAATAAACATGTTCTGCACTAACTAGTTGATATTTTCATGATCACCTTAACGTTCACTTAACGGTTTATCCATTGCATTTCAACGCAAGATAAGCGATAGTTGAACGTTATGCAACTATGAAAATACCAAACCCACATACACACATTTAGCATAATTTGAATGAACATAGATATAGACGCATAGTAGTGATTAATTAGCACAATATAAAAATATAAATGTGTTTTGTTTGAACTTTAATATTCTCCAATCAATCCCAGTAAGCATTTCTTGTAGTGACCGGAGCAATCGCCCTGCAATAAGAAGAGAGATTGTAGTTGGAATTATTTGTTTTTAGACGATGGTTCATCGTACCTCGATGTCTTGCTTCAGCGTGTTCCCGTATTGCGCCTGGTAATTGGTCTTGATGTCCTCCATATCGACCTCCGAACGGGTCACAACGAGTCTTATCAGTTGGCTGTCATTGGTGCCCAAACCGTCCATGCTCTTGTGCAATTTCTTGGCGAAGAACGCTGGACGGTTACGGACCGACCTGATGATAGCCAAAAGACAATCCTCGGAGTCCCCGGAGAATTCGTTCTTGATGGCCTTCTCGATGTCGTGACCGGTGATGCGATGGTACTCCTCGAAGACCAGCTTCAATTGTTCGTAGTTTCTTTGGCACAGGACCATGTTGAACGTGGATTCGTCCGTTCCCATCCTCAATTCACCTAGATAACAAAAACAAGGTTGATTTCTAATTTGTAGCAGTCCAATCACGTACTAACCAGCACGAAGAAGTGCTTGAGCGTCAGCGGTTGCGCTGTCCCTGTTGACCTGCATGCTTTCGTCTCTGCCGGCGTTGCACAGCGATACCATCAGGCGCTTGAATGTACCCGAAGTATCTCCCTTCAGATCCTCCTCCAGCGATCTGAAATACACTAGAAACAAATGTTTTTTACGTTATTCGAAGGTCACGTTTATCATCGTTGTTACGAATATACTCACGACTTTGGTATGCGGCGCGAATTGTTCGAATCTCGTTGTTCGTCATCGTGCAGAGTACCTCAATTAGCACCTCCTCGTCGGTGCCGATTCCGCTGATGGCGTCGTGCAACTCCTTAGCGTAGTATTCCGGAAGAGGAGTCATCAAGGCCACAAGGGTTTTCTCGAATTTACCGCTGGTTTCGCTCTTCAGGTCTTTCACCAAATCCTATTAAATATTATCAACATATGCATTGAACGGTTTCCGTTCGTATCGTGTTATCGTATGCTATTTGCGTTACGAGCGGAAAAAATGCGTTTGTTCGCTGATAACAATTATTTTCTTACCTTTCCATAAAGCGTTTTGAATTGTACGGCGATGTTCAAGCGTTGCGCGTTCGTCCTTTTTGAGAGGACGTGGATGATGGCCTTCTCGTCGGTGCCGAAACCCTTCATGGCTTTCCTCAAGATCTCCGCATCGGCGCGAGGATCGAAAGGATTCGCTGGACGCACCGTCGGGGTGTACTAAAAACTCGAAAAAATTAATTAATCATAAATGATCAATGTTCTTCAAGAGTAATCTTGTGCAATTATCAAGCGGTTTTTTGTTAGAAAAGCAGCGTTTAATTGACGATTAACTTACCTTTGGAGCTAATGCTATTGTATTTGAGGGATTGTAGGATGGTGCGTCTGAGCCGTAGCCAGTTCCACTTGGTGGTGGAGCAGAGCCGTAACCAGCGTCATCGGGAGGTGGAGCGGAACCGTAACCGGCTCCACTTGCGGGTGGATAGGACGAGCCACCAACTGGTGGAGGATATCCAGAACCTCCAGATGCTGGAGGATATCCAGAAGCACCAGATGCTGGAGGATATCCAGAAGCACCAGCTGGTGGAGGATAGGAAGAGCCGCCGTTGGGCGGAGGATATGCAGAAGCACCAGCTGGTGGAGGATAGGAAGAGCCGCCGTTGGGCGGAGGATAAGATGATCCTCCGGTGGCTGGGGGATATACGGAAACACCACCTGGAGGAGGATACGCCGATCCTCCGGAGGCCGGAGGATAAGGAGATCCTCCAGGTGGCGGTGCAGTTGCCGATGGATATCCGCCACCACCTGGTGCCGGAGGATAGCCGCCACCAGGAGCTGCAGACGGGAACGGTTGCGGCATGTACATTGGCGAGTTCATGGGAAATCCGAGGCTGGGCGGAAAGACGCCGCCCGGCGCGCCAGGATAAGGAGAGGATTGGGGCTGTGGCATTCCTCCTCCGTATGGCTGCGGGTACGGGGGTTGACTACCGCCCTAAACGAAATCAATAAGAAAAAAAAAATAAAGCAATGTCAATCGGCTGCGACCCCTCCTTCGTTACGTAGCATGCATTAAACATAAAAGGATATTTTTTTTTCATTAGTTATGTACTTCAATTAAATCACATGCAATATGTAGTAGTAAGTGCATACACGTATAAATCCGCAAGGCTCACCTGTTGATACGGAGGATAACTCATTTTTTTAAGCTACTGTTCTAATTGTTTATTTATATATGGATATTAGTGTTGTTTCTTTTTTTGTATTAGTTTATCTCGACCTGCTTTCGCCACGAATTTTGTTCAACTGACAACAGAAAATGACTAATTCCTTTTAGAAAGCCAGAGGTTTCAAGGACACGGATACGCGCATGCGAGCTCTCCGCAGTCCTCTCCAACGTAACGCTTCCAACTAGATAAACAAATAAAATCTTTCCGATAATCACAACAGAATTCTGAGAGCGAAAGCCGCGCTGCAGATGTAACAAATTGGACCTAATTATGATGCCACCGTCTTCGACCGTTCTATTCAAACTGCGACAGTCTCAAAAAATAGCACGTGCAATTGACCGTTCTAGAATAGAATTACGTAATTGTTCGCTTCTGTTGTATAGACATCCCACAACACTCTACGCAACGTTCATTCACAGAATCCGCGATTGTCTACAAACTCGCTGACGTAGCATTGCACCATAACTAATGATTCTCGAATTATGAATCATGATTCGACACTAATTATATGTCATCAAATGCCAAGTTACATAAAACAACAACGAAAATTTAACAATTAAAATATAATAACATAATTATTTTTCAATATAAAAACCTTTATTGTTTGTTTGTGTACAGTAGCAGATTGTTGTTATTGTTACAGACAGTTACAAAAACATAAAGTGTGAAGTTCTTAATTCATATTATATATTATTGAAAGTCTGAGAAATTTTCTCCATTACAAGCGTATTAATGGTAATGCATAATAAATTAACGCGTTTGTGTACATATAAATGAAGATTGTCTGCGTATAAGATTCTTATAAACAAAATGAATTTGCTCGTGATGCAAGCCGCGTTCTTGACGTGTTTCGCGAATCATTTAAACCAATTGCTTCATAATGCGATAGACGCAAGCAAGTTAATTTATTGCACCAACGACGAATCGCTCCTAAATTATTTAAAGGACATCCCCAAAGTTATCCACGATCAAGGCGTCGAAATGCAGTACAAACATTCAGCTTCCATCAAGTACGAAGTGTACATTTTGCTAATAAAGCATTTGGATTATTTGGAAAGTTTGAGTAAAGATCGCGCGTGGAATTCCCGCGCCAAATTCGTAATCATAGTTGAAATTGCTTCGGAGGAATTGCTGCACTTGTTGCGTAAACTGTACGTGTACAATGTCGTCGTGCTAGCGGGCTTTTCCGGTGACGCGTTAACTTATTTCCCGTACGATGAAGAGGATGTGTACGCAACCAACTCAACGTTCGTGCCAGTCAATCAAATTTACTTCCCGGAAAAGATACCCAAGACATGGAGAAACACGACCCTATCTGTTTTAGTTGTCAAATTGCCTCCTTACATCATCGACGTTGAAGCGCGAACGGGTTTGGAGCTTAAACTAGTTGAAGAAATTTTCGTTCCCAAACTTAAGTTGAAAATGGAGTACGTGGATATGAAGGAATATTGGGGATTCAAGTTTCCGAACGGTTCCTACAATAAACTGAAAAAAATGATTCTTAATAAGGAAGGCGATTTCGGAGTTGGAAGTTTCCACGTTCGTCAATATGAAAGCATCGAAGATTTCGATGTAACCTATCCCTACTTGATGGATTCCATAGTGTGGATCGTGCCGACAGCTCCAATCAAAGTGCAATGGATCACTATCGTAGACGTCTTTCCAAAATCCACCTGGTTCTTAATACTAAGCGTTTTACTAATCTTAAGTTGCTTTTGGGTGCTTCTCAGCAAATACGCAATTTACGAGAACTCCTACTATTCGGTGTGCTTCAACAGCTTCTGCATACCGATCAGGATGATCTTGATGCAACTCTCGAACAAACCGATCAAATCTCAATCAAATAAATTAATATTCGTTTCGACTTGGTTGTTCATGAGCGTGATCAGCATCCTTTGGCAAGCTCATCTAATCATTTTCTTGACCTACAACATACACGAGCACCAAGTTCACACACCGAAAGATATTATCAAATACCGGTTACGCATCAGAATACCGAACACTATAGCGCAGACTTTCTTGGATTCGCATTGTCCGACCGGAGATTATTTTTACAAGAACAACAAACCGGGCTTATTGAATCTCACTGTTCTCGATGAGGTGGCTTATGGTAAAGACACTGCGACCACTTTCAATCTGAAAACAGCGCAATATTTGATGCCCGCTTATTTGAATGAGGACGGTGAAGATCTTTTGTACATAATCGAACGCGTTATAATGAGCGAAGGAGTGGTGATGTTCTTCACCAAAGGCCATCCCGTTTACCAATCGGTTTCCGAAATCTTGCTCCAAGCTAGAGCTGGAGGTTTAATAAAGCATTTAGAGGATTCGTTTTATTACACGCAGAACAGGACGAAAAAACATAAAGATATATTCGGTATTAGTTCGCTTAATTTGAAACACGTGAAGGGTATATTCTTATTATACTTTATTGGAAATTTGTTGGCTGCAGCAGCCTTCGTCTTGGAAATTATTTATCCAACGATTTCCAGTAAGCACCGCTTGTAATCTCCGGATGTATCGTCCTGCAATCATCGAAATTATTTTATAATTCGCACTAATTCATAATCATAATCTCCATACCGTGATCCAATCAGCTAAAGACTTCCCGTATTTGGACTCGAACACTTGTTTGATGGTGCCGAGATCGATTTCCGAGCGGGAAACGATAATCCTGATCAGAGTTCTATCGTCGGTGCCCAAACGGTCCATGCTTTTGTGCAGTCTCGTAGCCAAGTAGTCGTACTTGTCTCGGATGCAATGGATGAGATTGAGGAGAGTGCTCTTCGCGGTGCCGGAGAACTCATTTTTGATGGCCTGCTCGAACTCGTGGCCGGTCAACTTTTCGTACTCTTCGAATATCAATTTCAACTGGGACCGGTTCCTTTGGCAAAGGATCGCGTTGAAGGTCGACTCGTCCGTACCTTGTATTAGTTCACCTGCTCTAAGCAATGTTTGGGCATCTTTGTAAGCCAATTCTCGATTGGTGTGCTCGGATTCATCGCGACCACCCTAACAAGAGACAAATAAACAATGTTTATAAAATACACAGAAAATTTTAAAATAAATCGCACTTACCACCGATAAGGAAACAAAGAGTCTTTTCACTGTGCCCGATGTATCACCTTTTATATCGCTTTCCAACGAAGTTTCATAAACTGCAATAATAGAGAAAAGCAATTACTCTGGAATGTTTTACTATCACAATTTGTTCTGCTTTAATCTCCTTCACAACAACTGTATGTGTATGCTTATTAATGAGCGAATCATACGTTATTATTAATAGTATTTATATTTAGATTATTGATAATTTGGAAATTGTTTTCAAAATCAATCAATGAAGAATAGATTGTTATTGAATTGAATTATAAAAAGGGCGCGGTTGAATGTCCTTCTGACCTTTTCTAATGATACGAATTTAATCTGCCAATTCCTTTGATATTACTAATATTTTTAATTGTCAATAACAACTTTGTAATAACTAATGTTATTATCGTGTAATTAGATATATGTTCCATGCTTTTAGATATTAAAAACTTGACACGCTACAATTACCACAATCTCCCACACGTCGTATTTACTTTTCACAATTATATTTATGGTGTTTTTTTGTGAACTTACGCTCTTCGTAGACTGTGCTAATAACCTTGACCTCCTCGTTGTCGTGAATGGCGAGGACCTCGACCAGTGTATCCTCATCCGTTCCCAATCCGCTGAGAGCTTTGTACAAAGCCTTCGCTTGGAAATCCACCGGATTCGTCATCAGCGCGACGATAACATCCTCGAAGTTTCCGCGCAGCTCACTCTTCAGCTCCTCCAGCAGATCTTCGCCGTACAACGTCTTGAATTCCTTCACGATTTCCATCCTCTGCTCCAGCGACCGCTTCGCGATCACGCCGATGATGGCCTTCTCGTCGGATCCGAATCCTTTGAACGCTTTCTTCAGAGTTTTCGCATCCTCGGCGGCATCGAAAGGATCGGCCGGTAAAACTGTTGGCTGCGACAACTTGTTTTTGTTATGTTTTCGGAGAAGCGTGTACACTTACGTTCGACATCTTCTTCTTCTTCGTTCCGATTCTTCCGCTCGACTGAACCTGAACGTATAAATAGCCTTGATTACTTAACATTGTATGGGGAAAGTAAAAGGAATGGTAGGCATGCGCTACTGGCCAACACTCCAAAACACTCCTGTTATATACCCATATGTTGTAGGCAACTTTTTGCACTTTCCAATTTGAATTGTTTGAAAATGTAATTACAATTCTATAAATACTGGCAAAAGGTGTCGACAGGACTCACCTAAATGTGGAGGAGTTTCCAGAATCTCATTATTTAAACAATATTTAAGATTGAAACGATGAACGATATGAAAGTATTGTCGTTATTTTTACAATTATTTTCGCGATTTTCCATAATAAACTGTAATATTTTTAATTGCATTTAAATTAATATGACTGAGTCAATATTGGATTTGTATTACTTACCTTAGAATACGGATCAAAGACTAACGTTTGCTTCAAGTTTTTTTTTTTTGTTCTCTCTTTCGATTTAATTCTCGACTTTGAGCGATAAAGAAAACAGCAAAGAATGTCACAGGTTGGAAACAAAAAAAGTTGACACTTATTATTATTATCGACATGATCGTAGTCGTCGGGTGTAGAAATGGAAGTCTCTCCAATTTTATTATTCAACCCTTCGCAAATCTCTTCAATAAAAAAAAAAGAAAGAAGTGAACTTTAAATTGAATTCCTCGCTTTCGGATCCTCAATTTTTATTTCTCCTCACCTTTTCTACGCCATGTAATTTAACGAGCTTCGGGCAATTTCCTGTCGTGCAGCTGAAAACCAGTTTATTTGTTCTTTCTGTTCTAGAAAAGGGTGAAAAGGTTATATATTCATCATCAAGAAGGCTGTGCTAAACTTTTAAAATAATTTATTTCCTATCTTAACAGTCACAATACATAATTTTCATTTCCTTTTTTTTCCCATCATTTCCTCCATCTCGGTATTATTTATTTATTATTGTTATCATTAATAATATTAACAAAACTAAATATTATCTACATAGGAATTTATTTATATATATATAATATAATATATCTCGTTTAATTAGCGGTTCAACCCTCCGTTTCAATCATCATAAATTCTTATTGTCAGACACCTGACTGCGCATTCGAAAAGAATCATTCCAAAAAAAAAAAAACGAAAGAAGAAATTAAACGTAAACGTAGTTTAATGCGAAAAAGTAAAAGCCTTTGATATGAAATAAACGTACTTTATTCATAGATTGTCCTTATTGAGTCAACGTCAACTGAGATGTCCTTCTTTTACTCCTTAATTTGTGTTTTAATGTGTAAATTGGCGCATCCTGAAAAAACGTAAAACTCAACGTAAAATGTCTTCAATCGATCGCTCCGTGACACTTTTGGAAATCTCAAATCTCGAGTTTACGAGAGGCAGTGAAGAATGTTTCTGAACGGAAATCACAAAACTTTTCATAAATCTGAAGTTTTCTTATAATATATTTATGTTTTTTTTTTTTTTTATTTCTCTCTCTATATATATTTATATAATTTAAAATCTTGCCTCGCTGTCGTCGGGCAGTGATCGAATTTTTCTATTCAATTTTCTTTTTATTTATTTATATATAAAAAAAATGCTTTTCTTTCAACATTTTTGTTGTTGTTGTTGTTTTAATTAAATATTAATTGGATATGGATTTTGACTTATCGATTAAAATCTAAACTGTTTATTAAACTCTTAGCCGCAGTATGTACAAGTATGCAGTTAAATATCAGTCATTGTACGAGAACGCACAGTGCTCGGAATGCACCGAAAAAAACGAATGCTAGTACCCATCCCTTTTTTTTTTGGAGAAGTCTAAATTGTTCATCATCAAATTCTCTAAATTCTTATTAATTTATGTACAAATCGTATTGCCTAGATCCCTTGGGTAGTAATCATCTTTTTAAATTTATTTATTATACTTATCGTTAATTATTTATCTGTTATCATTTTTGATTTCAATTTCTAAGCGATAAAAACTGAAATGAACGAACTCTAACGAACTGTATACTCGTAATAATTGCGTACTCTTCACATTGTTCTTATTTTTTTTTGTTTTTTGTTTATAAAATCACAAACAGGTACCTATCACAATCACAATTCTAAAAACGTCCGAAATATATTAGAGAATGTTTATAATACATTGGTCCTAAATAAGATAAGGGCCGCGTTCGACGCGATCCGGCTCGATTATATTGCGTGTTTCATTTTTATGTTTCTTTCTTTTTTGTTGTATCGTTTTGTTTAATTTTTTTTATGCCAATTCTGCGAGTTACATTTGGAAGAGGACAGAGATCGACCGTCACACGGTCGTCACCCTGTCCACCTCGACGTAACGCACAGAATTGTCGCTGTGTCAGCAAATCACACCCTTCTCATCGATAATGGCAGTGTCTGAGGATGAGAGGCTTTTCAGGCGGGTCTGCAGGATCGAGCGCGGCCTCCTCCGGCAGGTTTTGTAGACGACGAAGCAGATGGTGATGCTGAGCAGCATCAAGATTAAGACGCCCAGGAAGAGGTAGAGCGGCGGCAGCTGAAGCAGGAACGAGCAGTGGGTCAGAGCTTCGTCGACGCCCGATGGACAGTCTTCGGTTCCGTCGCACCAGACCGTCGCGTTTATGCAGGCATCCAATTCGGGACACCTGTACAGGCATTCGTCGTGCATCATCAGGACCAAACCGACGCCGTTCGGCGGAAGCTCCTTTCTGCAAACGTAAATGTTTTAAGTTAAATCGCAACAATATTTTGTTAATTTTTACCTCCGAGACAGCTCGAGCCAATGCACGGAATAGGCTGCTTCCTCTTTGCCGTGAAACTCGACGATGATGGTCCTCGACAACTCCTTGCCAAGATGATCGATCTCTATTTTATCGACGGCCAATTCCGGCGTCTTCCAGCCCTCCGAGAAAACCTCCACTAAATTGTGCCGACGCGACGAGGATACATATGGGCATATAACAGCGGAATAAAGCGCCGTGTGAACGGAAATTCTGTTTGTCGTTCCGCACGCCATAGCAGTAACGGCGGTCTCGTTTCCTCGATGTATGTGCTTCATAATCGTTCCGCTTATCTTCACGTACAGGAATTTATTCGCCGATGGTATAATGGCCCTCGGATACGAGTCGCAGTTCACCTGCAACAATTTACGTTAGAAATGGTGCAATTTGGTTGTTGGTTGTTGAACCTCTTCGGAATTCTCGAAGGGATACGAGAATGTTATTTCGCCGCTTGGACCCTGCTTCCTGAGGTTGCTTTTGCAGATAGGCGCGCGGATGAACTTCCAGGCGCCTTCAAAGTATAGAGTGGAGAAGTCGTCGGAAGCGTTCATCCCTGTTACGTCGAATCTCAGTTCGACGACGTTCGAAGTGGAGACGTAGGTGAATGGTAGCAAGGTTTCGGGTGAGGAGCAGAGGCAATCTCGCGGTGAGCCCGGAACATCGGTCCAAGGAACATCGAACATGCGAACAGCGGCGGTCGTGTTCCCGTGGCAGTAGAACCGATCAGTTTCCGGGCTCAACTTGGATTCGCACTCTCGCCCTTTAATCACCAATTTTGTTAAAGTTATTTTAATCTTTTCGTCCTTTTGCGCTTCGAAACGGTACACGCAGCTGAGATTCTTCGCGCCGCCTCTGCCGTAGAGGAAGATGTCGCGCGGCGATTTAAACTTTTGAATGTCCTGCGACGAAGTGAACTTCCTGCTGCACAGCCCTTCACCGTACGGCTCGCCATCCAGATGCAGGTCGACGAATTCGTACAAAGCCCGGAATCTCACGGCCCTGTCAACAAATTGGATTACTTATGAGGCCGTTCGGGAGGCTGAGGGAAATAATAACCTGAGGGCCGTCGAGTCCGCCAATCTTAATTCCAGCGTCAGGCTGTCTCCGGAGGATAGGAAGCTCTCGGATAAAGAGCAGGGTCGTGGGAAGCGGGTGCCGTTCGCCAACATCGAATGATCGCAGCTGCGCGGCACGTGTTCCCTACAGTACCTCGCGAGAAGGCTTACGTTTTTGCTGCTCGCCGTCTTCGGTGTTGGTTTCGTCTTATCCTTGCTGCTGCTTCAAAACATCCACGATTATTGCATCCACCCATAAACAGTTGTCACTGCCAGCCAACATTACCAGAAAAGGTCGTTGCAGTTGGTGCCCGTCCACTGCTGCCCATCCCACACGTTCAGATAGCTGCGGCACATCTCCTGGTCCAGCTTCTGTAAATCGCGATTACCGTCCACGTGAAACTTGACCACGGACAGCCAGACGCGATACCTGGGAGGAGGAAATACTATCGCCGTCTGCCTCCAGAATCCGTCCGGATAACGAGGGGATAAAGGCCGGAACGGGACGGGCGATGGAGACACGGATGTGTCCATCCCTTGCAGGTGATAAAGGCATGTCGTGTTCGCAGGCAACGAATGCAGCGGACTCTCCAGAATCCCCTTATTCGTTCCCCTAATCCAGAATTCGCAGTTCCTTTTGTTCCTCACGTACGTCGGCGACTGCTGATCCACGAACGTCACCTACGCAACAGAATCGAAATTTATATCTCTACAATGCGCTTTTTAGTTCTACCCTACTTCGACTTCCAATTGGAATCCGTGCAGCGATTGAGCCGGCGTCGGATGGAGGAACGTTCCGTACGGCGACGTCGAGAATTCAACGAGCAACTCGTGTCCACTGGACACAGCCTCCGGCACAGCTTGTCCTCCGCCGCAGAACTTCAGGATGACCGGATCCCTGGTCGTGTATCCGTCGTAGACGGTCACGTAGTCTTGGACGTCGTCGCAGGCGTTCCACACCTTCAGCTCTCTGGTGCTGGCAGTCCCGTAGAGCGCGGATTGGCTTCGGATCGAAATTAGTTGTCCTTTGGGTTGTCGGACCGTGATCAAGGCGTGCTTGCCGGAAGGCACTTCGTGCTGGCGCACCGCATAATAGCACGTCAGATTCCTGGGATAAACCCCCGGGAAATTGGGCGATTGCAGTCTGCAGTGTTTTCTATCACAGTCGCTGAATATCCTCGAACAATACGTCCCCGTTATCAAATCCCCTAAATAATACTCCGGCTCTGGCTCGACCGACGGCGCCGTCACGTTTGGCTCAACGGCAACCGATGGAATCGCTGCAAATAATAGAAAAATAGAGAGAAAAAAAATAGAAACGAATTCGCATCCCGAAGGCCCCATTCATTTATTACATACAACCAAAAATTTCAAGATATAAACAACTTGATTTATGCATTTTTAACCATTACCCCAAAATATTATTGCATAACTCGATATTAAATAAACATTATTTATTGAATTAAATTGCATTAATTTTACATATTTATAAAAAAAGTTACATGAAAATAGTAACAAATAGTAATAGACAAACAAAATAAAATTCTTAAATTGGAACAAACAAAAATTCATTGAAAACTTTCCCCCTTCAGGTTTTGGAAACATGATGTTGCTTCATGTTTGATATAATTACTTCAAAATTGGGACTTTTTGATGTAAGAGCAATTTGAATACAGTTTTCGGCGTTTAATCTATTTCTGTTTTTCGTTTTTATGTTCATTAGAGTGGAAAAGCCTTGTTCACAAAGGTAGGTTGTTGCAAATGGCAGCAATTTTTTTACCGCCTCCTCATGTGCAATTTTGAAAGTCTTTGCAGCCTTTGACAATCCAAAAAGACGACAGATTTGCTTTGGTCTCAAATTGAATACAGTATTGGATGGAAGTTCAAGAATTGCCTCTGCCAAACCTTGGAGGTTCTTCTGGTATGTTAGTAATTTCACATTTAAAAGGATCTACAACCCAATTTACAGTTTGTACATCAAGATCTGAAAAGTAGTCAGAGAACCGCTCTCAGAGTTTCGTAAGATGAAATTATAAAAATTTCCCTATTACCCAAAAAAAAATCATTTTTACCCCATTTTGGGTAATTTATCCCGATTCCCCGACCGCTGCATTAAGACATAAATCCGTTGAATGTAGATCCCATTATAAACTACAAAATTTAATTGTTTCAATTTCAATTGAGTTTATAATTAAAATTCAAACTAGCCTCGTTTCGAATCCATTTAAAACTGAACATTTAAGAAGTCGTTTTTAGCGATTTTTGCATCGCCAAGCAAAGATTATGTAGTTAAATGTAAAGAATATAAAATTACCTCCACCGTATCGAACCGTAGCGGCTTTCCTCTTCAACAGCTTATACTCCATCCGGAAATCGAAGTTGTATCCGCTCTGGTCCTTGGACAACCTGAGTAGATTGACGGTGATCGTCACGCTCTTGGTTTCGCTGTAGTAAATCGAAGGACCCCAGGAGGTTCCGCACCAGGAGCCTCCCACCTGAGGTCGATCCGATTCGGAGATTTGTAGCGCTCCGTCCGGGCAACCCTCGGCCGTGAAGGACACGAACCTTCCCAACGTGAAACTGTCGAAAGTCAGCTGCCAGACGATCGCAACAACGCAAGCAAAATATTAAAAAATTTGCAGAAACGTTCAAATGGAAGTTTGCGAAAAGTTCTCTTTCTCTCGGTTTCATTTTTATTTTCCGTTTTATTCGATATGTAGATAGAGGAGGAGGATGCCTTCTTTGAATCGAGAAAACTTATATAAACGTACGTGCAAATACGAGAGAAAACTCAACTTTTTTCCCCGAGCAAATGAAAAGTTAAATTGGTATTTTTCTCGTTGTCGGCGAGTTTTCCAGTGACTTGAAACAAGTTCATTAGAGTCTATTAGATTTTCAATAAATAACTATTTGTTTCTTTTTATTTTATTCAAATTTTCAATCAATATTGTATAGTAAAAATTGATACTCAAATGATCTCTGTAAATATTATTTTTACTGGATATCTCCATTCTTATGCACGATTCCAGTCATGTTCGAAGCGTTACGGCAATTTCCCTGCATACACAAAAAGGGATTCATAATATATTCTGCGTCGGTGGGTCTAAAGCTGAGGTCCCAACCTTTCACACAAAACGCGCTTATAAAATATATATTTTATGTACGAAAATATTAGACATTAAGCCTTAATTTGATACTTTTTAACAGCTGTGTCTTTATATGATCTACAAGTAATATAAATATCAATTTGAAAACCGAACGTATACATTTATCTCGGTCTCCGATTTCCGTTGAGTCGAATATTATGAATATTGATAGTTGAGAGTTCTTGCATTAAACGGTCGTAACTGTGTGCCCCGCAGGATAATTAATGATCATCCGGGAAAAGGGTAGCTTTAACGGGAGAATTGCGGTGGAAAACAGAGAGAGAGACTCGTATGCTTTAATTATATTTGCGTATCCTCTCCCCCAAACCCTTCGCTTCTTCGTCTTCGCACAGCGAGCAAGGATTTAATTTTATCGCGCAGTAATTACTTGCGTGTGTTTGTGATATGCATGTTAACTCTCGTAGCTCCGTTTTAATCGGATAAACACTGCCGAATCTTGACGTGCAAAATCCCGCAAACTTTCATTATTCTCGACCTAAAAAAGGACACGTCTACTTTGTATTCCTGCAGTATTGACAGGGAAATTTATCTGCTCCAGGAGAAATATTGTTTTTGTTCCTCAACAGGAAAGTTGCGAGAATAATGGAGAAAACGAAAAGAAGGTGACAAAAGGGAAACTAATAACTTTTGCTGTTTTTCAGCGTAGCTTTGCCGGAGGCGAAAAGCGACGAATAATTGACATTTATTAACGTTTTCCCCTCGCTTTCCGTCGACCCCTTTTTCTTTATTTTCAGTTTAATGCAATTTCCCGTGACGCTTTTCGCATCGATTCACTTATTACTCTCGTCGACGCTTTTCCATATTTTCCCTCTTCAATTCATTAACGCCGCAGCAGAGATATTTCGCGGATTCCGGCCTCCTCCATTCATCCTCGTCCCAAATTTCACGAATAACGACAATCGCCAACTTCTGCACTCATTGTCATCACTTACAAAACACTATTATTCCTGTGCAACAGCTTTCATCTCCTTTTGTCCCCCACTAAATTGTTATTATGTACAGTTTTATTTATAGCATTTATCATTAATCATTTATTTGATATAAATAAGATAAATACCTTTGAAAACCTCATAACGATATCACTTATTAAGTACGTAGATATTTTTTCAAATATTGGGTGAAGTAAAAAGTTTTGAGCCTTTTTCGTTGTTGGATGTTTACCTTGCATCTTGTCATCCTATACTGCGACTTAAAGGCAACATAACGCTTTAAAAAAAGTTCTTTGACATGTTTAGTGAATCCAGTTGTGTGTTAGAGCGTTCAAAAATGGAGGTAAAAAAGAGAAAATTCGATACATTCAGAGAGGAGAAGCGGAGCATGCGACCAGAAAATGTTGTGTTGTTCAAATCGTTGATTCCAATGCTTCAGTACTGGTAATATGGACGTGGAAGATGAGACATGCTCTGGTAAATGTTGATAAAATCATGGAAATCGTCGAGTTATTCCATTGTCCAGGAACTGAAGATTAGCCAGAAAACTGGTTTTAAGAAAAAGCTAATTGATCTAAATTCGAAAATTGTAACTTTCATTGTCGAAAAAAAGGCTCAGAACTTTTTACTTAACCCAATATTTACTCTTTTCCACAAAACATTTAAATTGTTTAACTCTACTTTCTTAAATGATTATATGTAATTTGTTACTATATAAACTGTCAACTAAATTATTTATCAAACAAAAATAATTGAAATATTAATTTACATTGCAGTGAAGTGTAAATTGATTGTATACATAATTAATAAAATACGTATACAAAGTTCAAGTCTTTTCACACCACAAAATAATAATTATTTTTACTAAACTTACACGATCGTTAATAACCATATGTTTTCAATTTAGTGTACGTTTCTTCGAGATCTCTCGGAATGGAAATGCAGACTTTATTTAATTTTCCGACTCGCCTGCGAAGCTATTACTTTCTGTTTCGTTGCCTCGATGAACGCGACTTTAAAATAAAGTTTTATTCGTTTATTTTATACACGCAATTTGGTCAAAACTGTTATTTCTCCTGGTTTCCACCAAAACTGCTGTGTTCATTAAATGATAGATAGATACAATGTTAATTTATAGAAGACTTGATTATAACAATTTTAAAATAATCAAGTTAATTTTTTTTCTTCCGTTCTCAAGTTCGAAGCGAAGCCTCCGCTAATTATTAATTAGCGTAAACTATGGCAATTAGGTGATTCAATTTCGAAATTGTTATACGGCTCACGTCTCGCGTTATAATTTAATATTTACTAGTCTGCAACCCCTTGATGATGACGACGACGTTGGGGGTTTCTGGGGTTTCTGGAACCCCAAAAACCCGTCTAATCTCGCAGCCACCGCTTTCATCTGCGACAATTTAGATATTTCATTTATAAACCGTCGCACATAATTTATTTCCGCGCCGCGACGACAATGGATGAAATTAACTGCAGCCATCCCGGCGCTCAAATTTTGCAATAATTCCGACCGAATTAATTCAAGTTTCAACCATCCGCACACGAATTTTCTCCTCTTCCCCATTCACACATTATTTCCCCCCCCCCAAAAAAAAAGGTGTCCGCATTACGTAAGATTAATTCCGCGGAGGCGGCGCCACTGCTGCTGCGAGCGGCGGTGGCGGTATAAATCACGTCCGCCCTCTATTGAATTTCCTTTTCCCCAAAAATTTTTGGTTTTCCACATAAATCTACCCTCGTCCTGCAGATGATTTCACCATTACGAGAAATCGTTTTTTTTTCTCTCTTTTATATTCCTCGAATCACTTTATCCGCAGACACGTGAATGTCAATTTAGCACTTGGTTCAAAGGGCGCGATCATCTCATTGGCTCACCTGCACCAAATCGCCGAAATCTCCTCCTGCAGCTTTGAAAGTCAGAAGACATATGAAGGGTATTTTGTCTTCCTTCGGTCGATGCAGCTCCATGTCGTACGTTATTCCCACTTCACCGTAAAACGTCCGGTTACATGCTGAAAAAAAGAAGCGAAATTCAATCAAAATCGGTTGAATAATAGAAACATTTTCGGTTCGAATAATAAAAAGCACATATAAATCGGCATTTCCATAGTTTATTGTCCATTTTTATCGAATCCGGTCATCGAAACTAAATATTAATAATAGACCAGAAATGCATGCATACAACAGTTATATTCGGCTATATAAATTTAATAAAGTCTCCAAATTTAGTTCAACAATATCGATTAACACAACCATGTTCATATTATGTTTCATTTATACAGCTTCAATTTCATAAATTCAAAATATTTGCCACGTTCTTAACGTGAATCCATGTTACGTAATAATAGTCTGAGACGAGTCACAATTCTATTAAGTGCAAGTGTTTAAATAGCAACTGGAGACAACTGTCTCCTTGCTAATTCGATCTATTCTTGTTTGTCTGCAGCGAAACTTGTTAATTGCATTTCAGTTATTTAATATGCATTGGAGAGATGCAAAATGCAACATTTTAATTATAATAAACACAATCAATATTTAATTACACAAAAAATTGTGTAATTATTTTCGTTATTATAAATTACAAATATGTAAGAGTTAAGTTTTTTCATTTGCACAGAAATTATATGCGCTCTGGCATAAAATTGTAATATCTCACTATTAGATTTTCGGAGATCAAATTGCGTAATATGTAGACGTGCACCCGGCGCATCCACTTACGCGATGCGCAGTTACTTTCAAGACTTTTCCCGAGTGCAGCTTATTTAGCTTGTACATTATGCATGCGATTTATTCACTTAAAACGCCCGAAGCCCCCCTTTTGTCGTCTCCTTCGTCGTCGATGGAAGAAAAGTATTTTTCCAAAAGGCAATCTCTTGCGTATAAAGAAATAATACAATATTTAAGCGTGCATTTAAACTAGATACTTGCACAAGTATTTACAAATATTTACCAAGTATCGCTTAGCAACAGATTATTAATTTGTTTACAATGGATACTAAATTGCGGTTACGATGATATTAATATCTTAAGTGCTTGCGAATAGATTGCGATTAACTTAAGTGTTTAGTTAATAATTCTAAATGTTATGACGCTTGTAAATTGCGTGCATAATAATATTAATTGTAATTACAATATTTGTTAATTGTTATAATAGTTTAGTGTGTAGATGATAAAAATTATACTAAATTAAACGCTATCAAATGTTACAGCATTGAAACGCGCACAAAAAGAGCGTCGGAACATGACCTAATTACTTTCAACTGCGTCCGTTGAGCTTTCGCGTTTCACTATTTGATAATAATAATAATAATAATTCAGGATAATAAGGGAAGGGCCGGACTAAATTGCAGAAGGGCTCGGTCGTAAATACCAGCTGGTGCAAAACCCATGCAAAGTGCATCCGACCAACCAACCAACCGACGGTCACTCTTATTCATCATCGACTTATTGTTACGCCCTGCCGCAGCGCCGGGAATGACACACTTTCCGAAAGGTTCACATTAAGCCGCCTTATGCATAATCAATTTCAACGTTTTTTTTTCTCTTCTTTGCACCGAAATTTCCGATGCGCACATTAATTTCTCCATCATAATTATCATCCGCAATTATCTCATTGTTACTGCATCATAAATATTCACATCGGGATGAATTATGACGCACAATTATCCAGCCCTCTATTTTAATATATTTAATTTTCATCCTTTTCTCAACATAATTTCCATTTATTTTAGAGCCACCTTTCAAAACATTCCTCAAAATCGGCTTTTTGGAGCTTTTCAAGTTCGACATTAACTGAATGGTCTTCACATTACAACATTACATCACTAATTTTGCATTTTCTCCTATCCGATCTTCTTGAAATTTGACATGAAATATCTTTAAACTTTAACAAATCAAGAAACAACTTTTGTTTTTTTTTCAGAAACAAATGTATTAACGCCAACTAAGCGAACTTTTGTTCGCGAATAATGTTTATTTAATACCATTTGCTTACGTTTTTTTTATACAGTTATTACAGATAGATATTATAAATGCATAATTCATAGTTATTTTGTATGTATAAAAACACACCAGTGGAAATGATGTGGGAGTTTACCTTTGATTTGTATTTTATGAATATTTTATGATCTTCTGCTCGGAAATAATGATATATTTTACACACATATTTTGTATCATTCTACATACGCAGTGAAATATATACAGAATATATCGGTGCACCAATTACACGGTGATAAATTTTAACGGACTCTGATGCATTTATAATTTACCATGGATGAAATTGCATGCGATCCACACATTTTATTCATTTGAAACCAATATATTTTATCTTGTATCACTGTTTTTTTATGTACTGCTATAGTTTAACTTAATATTTATTAAGGCCATAGTGTATTTATTTTAGTTCTAAATTAGTACTGCAGATTTTGCAATTCCTCGATTATGAAAATTTCCTTTTGTAATTTTCCTGTATAACTATTAAAACTTTTTATTATTATATTAAAATTCCTCTACTATTTCTCATCTTTTGATATAACAACTTTTACGTAATTTTAATAAATGGCCAAAATATAACATTCTCCCATATTTTGTTTAATTATATTATAATCAAGCCCTCCAATTATATCATCAAATATGCATATTAAAGACAAAAGTATGACCTTTCCAATGAGCCTACTATCAGATTTGTGATATTTATCTTTACCTAATTATAATTTATTTATTATCGAAAAAGCAATATTTGGTGTACATTTGGTTGCATACATTACATATATACTTGAATAATTAATAAATTGAATTATCGATTAACATTTATATTTTTGATAGTTAAACATCAATAGACCCTTAATTACACACCTTTTGATATAGGAAATGTATTGGTATTAATTATTTACGATTTTTCAAATTTATTTTAACATATTTCGAAAGTTTTCAAACTTTCATATTTATTCTATAATTATAAAACTTTTTACATATTTCATGATTAAAATCTTATTTAATCATAAAATATGTAAAAACAATATGTTCTATTTCACATCTTTCGCTATAACTACTATTAGGTAATAGTAATTACATTTTTTTTTCACCTCTTCACTAATTATTTACTTACTTTATAATAGACAGAATGAGTCCAATAGATGCATATGAAAGCTGAATGTTTGGGGAATCTAGCAAGTATGATATATTACTGTGGTTTTAGCCGTTTGGCTGTAATTCGTGTTCAAATTTG